CTCCCTCTGGCCTTGTTGCGATGCCATGTTTTCGAGATGAAGATGATTAAAGGTGGATGGTGTTATCCTTTCAGCCAAAAACGCGTCTCCGCTTCACTTGTTTACCATGTTAATGGCAGTCGTCGATGTTTGGAGATCCGTGCCCCGTGTAACGCGCACAAAGCTGTTAAAAAGGTCCTACGGTGTTTGTTATGTATTATACATACGCCGACGCCATTTGGAAGGAAAATATTTTCTGGATAAATATCGCTTTCTCTTTCCTAAAAAGAACCTTTTCCTATATACTAAATTCGACGATAATTCAAACCCCTCGTTTCCACAAATGGTAAGATAAATAAATCACCGTAATGTTATTACAATAATTTGACAATCGAACTATTCCCACAAAGCATCGAATTACGGGATATCTACTCGGCCGTTTACAAGTAATCGAATGACGACAAAATAAATTATCGGAATTTAACGACAGCGATAATTTAAACGAACGTTATCGATAATTCATACGCGAGATTCATACAAAATTGCCACGCATATGTCCCGAAATTACCAATTAACGCGATATTGTTTTAAAAATATTGATGGTCACATTCATCCCCTGTACTCGCAGAGCGTATCCCCTTGTCGAGTTTCGTCGCCGGGTAATAATATGCAAATGAATGTTCCGCAAAACAGTATGCAAATAAATAGCATAGGTTAAATGTGGAGACGTCTGTCTCTCTTTCTTCTTGGTGCATCCTTCTTCTTTCCGCGTCGCGTCAGAATAAGTTAATACGTCTGCGTAAATGCGACGGAAACGCCTCTCGAGGCTCAGGTAGTATGGGGCTGCGGTTGGAATTTTCTCGCGTTTTACAGTACAGTGCACAGTTGTACGGGAGGTTAGTTTCGGCTTGTAAAAATCCCAGCTGCTGCGGACGCAACCGGGTTCACCATTTTTTTTCTCCTTAGGATCGCGTACGCGAAGGAAACTTACCGTGTTGAAGTAACCCGAACGACGCAAACTTTCTGCACGCGTGCCTTCGACCCTGTATTTCCCTTATTTTTCCGTTTAATTTTCCCTCGAACTTCGTCGAGAGTTCATTGACTTATCGTGGTGATTAATATGCTTGTCAACGGCATGTACTCTCGTTTGCGATGCAATATTGGGGGTGGAATTTGAAAATTTTATTGCGGTGAAAATTTGGGATGTGGGAATTTAAAAGGAGGTTTAGGATAACGTGAAGTAATTGTGACACGGAGTGATAGACAACAATGTTTATATTTAAAATCACAATAACAACAATAACAATAACAAATAACAATGATACCGTACAAAAAATGTAAACAAGAACTATGGTTATAAGCGAGGGTTAAAAAACGCGATGCGAAAGCTACGATGGTCAGAACGATTCCGAAGAATTTTCCAACGGCTCTTCGCACGAAGGAAAATATGCACATGGCCCTAAAAGGCAAATAAGGGCCTACGCGCAAAACGCTCGAACAAGCCTGGGTCTTCAAGGACATTCAAAACTTTTTACACCATTTATGGCTTCACTGCCACAGTGGGAATTTAGGATGTGGGAATTTAGAGGGTGGGAAATTAGGATGTGAGAAATTAGGAATTTTGCAATTGGGGATGTGAGAATTTGGAATATAGGAATTGGGGATGTGGGCATTTGGGAGGTGGGGAATTAGCGATGTTGGAATTGGGGATGTGGGAAATTAGGGATGTTGGAATTGGGGGTGTGAGAAATTAGCGATGTTGGAATTGGGGATGTGGGAAATTAGGGATGTTGGAATTGGGGGTGTGGGAAATTAGCACTCGTGAAATTGGGGATGTGGGAAATTAGGGATGTTGGAATTGGGGGTGTGAGAAATTAGCACTCGTGAAATTGGGGATGTGGGAAATTAGGGATATTAGAATTGGGGGTGTGGGAAATTAGCACTCGTAGAATTGGGGATGTGGGAAATTAGGGATGTTGGAATTGGGGATATGGGAAATTAGGGATGTTGGAATTGGGGATGTGGAAAATTAGCCATCTTATAATTGGGAATGTGGGAAATTAGGGATGTTGGAATTGGGGATGTGAGAATTTAGCGATCTTGGAATTGGGGATGTATGAAATTAGTGTCGTTGCAATTATGTATATTCTAATTCAGACTTTGTTATTTTGGGACCTAAAAAATTATAAATATTGTAATTTATCATTCATCATCACACGATATATCATTTCTAACATTCCCAAAAAAAATTTAACCAAAACATAATTTTATTGTAGACCATATCCCTTATCGTAGCAACATAACTTCTGAATGAATCGCGCGACACACGTTGTTCGTAAACAGTACATCGCATAATGCATGCACGATCGCAGAAACAAAACTAGCACGGTATTTCGCACGATTTCAGTAAAGATAGCATTATTGGACGTGGCGATTATCCAGCCAAAGGTGCGAACTAGTATTTTGCTCATTAAACACTCGGCCCATTCAGACTCGCTGGTTTATATATGAGCTCGATTTTAACGGACTCTGGAAAGTTGTACGATCCATTATCGTTCTGGCCGTTGTTTCCACGTGAAATTTCACTGGATTCCGACTGGAATTCTGTCGTGCACTTCGGTGGCTGCTCCACAACACCTATAATCTGTTTCTTCCGTTTACCTCTGTAATTGCGCTATTATTACGAGTGCCACGATCCATCTCGCTGACTTTCATTCCCCCTATGTATACATACTTTCTGAACTGCTTTCTTTTCCCTATCGCGATTTTATCGAGAGTGTATGGGGAACTGTATCGATTCGCTCGACGAGAGACGTTGGATGAGGGACACGATAATGTCGGGGGAAGGGTAATTAAAATAAACGTGAATTTCTAAAATGAAGAACATCGCGCGGAGCAGAGTTTCTTGCTGGCAAAAAGCAGCGAAATGGAATGAAAATACGATGTCGGTGGTAAGATAACATTTGTCAAGATGGTCGAAACGAACGAAAAACACGATGTAAAGGAATATTTCTTCGATGGAATTATTTTCGAATGTGCTCGATTGATTTATCCTTAAAAACTAATTCTTTTATGGTGCATCGAAAACGTATTTGATATAATTAAAATTCATTTTAATTTGTATAATTAAAATTATTGAAAGAATCCATCAGTATTATATTAATTAATATTATTCTCTCAATTAATTAATTAACATTTATATTTTTACGTTTCATATACTTTACATTACATTCTGATAAAAAGTCTGTACGTCATAAAATATGCAGATAAAATTCTTTCCCAATCGATTTTAATTAACGAACATCACATTTGTGATTTCATATAGTATCCTTATCAGATAATTATTTAAATTGTTTTGTTCCAGTCACCATGATAAAAAAATACAATTTTAATACACAGAATATTTAATGAAATTTTATCCTACAGAGAGAAGGTATTATTTACATAGTAAAACTTGATTAAACCCGGTCTCTGTGGATTATGTATCTTTCCCTTATTATTCTCTGCAATGCAATTTTATAAAAGTCGTCTTAGACTTTGTCTGGTATCAACCTTTGGGCGGGGCATTTTTAACATTAACAATATTTATGTTAAGAACTGGAGACGGTATTTCATTTTATCTACATGGGCCAGTGTTTGCTTTATCTTCCTTGATTTATTCACGACTGAATATTTTTATGAACATTTTTTAGGTGAAATTGAATTAGGGGTGTGTGGAATGAATTGAGGCTATGATTGAACTGTGACAGTGTAAATTGAGATGCTGGGGATGTTTTATTAGGTGGGGGATGGGGGTAGTAAAATTTTTAATTTGGGAATTTGGGGCGGTAGGGATTTGTGGATTTGGAGATGTAGGGATTTGGGGATGTGGAGATTTGGGGATGTAGGGATTTGGGGATGTGGAGATTTGGGGATGTGGAGATTTAGGGATGTGGAGATTTGGGGATGTAGGAATTTGGGGATGTAGAAATTTGGGGATGTAAGGAAATTGGAGATGTAGGGAATTTGGGGAGGTAGAGATTTGGGGATGTGGAGATTTGGGGATGTGGAGATTTAGGGATGTGGAGATTTGGGGATGTAGGAATTTGGGGATGTGGAGATTTGGGGATGTAGGGATTTGGGGATGTGGAGATTTGGGGATGTAGGGATTTGAGGATGTAAGGAAGTTGGAGATGTAGGGAATTTGGGGCGGTAAAGATTTGGGGATGTAAAAATTTGGGGATGTAAGGAAGTTGGAGATGTAGGGACTTGGGGATGTAGGGATTTAGAGGTTGTAGCGATTTGAAAATGTAGGAATTCATAGTTGTAAGAATTTTAAAATACACAAATCTGGGAATCTAGGTATCCAGAAATTCAGAAATTCAAAACCTCAGAAACATCAACCTCATCTTATTCTACTTTCCCATTTCCCAAAAGATTAAGAAATCCACTTAACTTGAATAATTACAAAGACGAGAATGAATTGTCAAGAAGCACTGAATAGCGTAACAAGCTTAATAGTTTATGAAGTTCACTGTTTTATTTCTGCAATGCTGCTGGCAGCAACAAACTAATGACGCAGTAATTAAGGTGATAAAACAAGTAACACGGTTCATGCTTTGGACAGATCCAATACACCATTACTAAGGACTTTGTTTCTTATCGCAATACTTGTTTACACGATGTTTTGCAGGAAACAGCTGTAGTATGATTTTTGCTTTGAAACTGCTGCAAACTTTCAAAGTTATAATTGTAATAAATTATCCTTTAATTTATCATTGCATCGAGTAATTAACGAAAGACTTAACTTCATTTTTATTAAACTATACTAACATTATATCTTCTGAACTTTTTTAATAAATTACCTAATAATTTTTACTGACATATCTATTCTATTAAAAACAGTAGTATATCTAATAATGAAATATTTCAAGAGTATAATAAATTTCAAATTGATTTAAGTTATATGCGTTGAGTAAACAATAACAGTTATTAAATCTTTCGACGATTCAAATAACCACAGTTGAAACTGTTTCTTTTAGTTTGGCTGCCGACCATGGAACCTCAGTCTGAAAAGCGTGGTTGTTCTGGTCCTGTCGAATATGCTGTTGACTTTCCTGTTGCTGCAGTCAGAAACCTGTATCCCGGACGAAGTGCCCAGAGATATGGAATCAAACGTCATAACCGAATGGAATCTTGGCACCTTAATCAAGGAGCAACAACAGTCGGACTGCGTAACGCAGGATTACCAACCGTTGCAAGCTGACGCGAGCAGCTTGAAGCTGAACGTAAGGCTAGGTCGATGGGACGCCCGTAGAATGTTCCGGACTTTCGACCACGTTTTGGTCGGTTCGAGTTTCATCGAATTATCGCAAGCTTACCGGGTTTGTTTGGCTACCCAGAGTTCGGTGGAGAAGCTTCACTCGTTGGTGCAGGCTGCCCATCACTGGACAGGGCCGATGTCGGTAGCCTTGTACGCTGCCGGTGACGAAGAGTTCGACGTTCTTCAGAAGTACCTGGTCTACCTTAGAAGATGCTACGAACCCATAAGGGAAAGGGTGTCGTTTTCCTTGGCCGTGCCGAGGAACAGGCCGCCGAAGAAGCAGCCGGTGGATCACGAACTACCCGACACCGTGGACTGTGCCAAACCGGAAGGGACGTTGAACCAGCTGATGAACGGGATCTCCAACGAGCAGACCAATTGGCGGATACACAACGTCTATCCTCAGAATCACATGAGGAACCTAGCTAGAAAGAACTGTCAGACCGACTACGTGTTTCTGACAGACGTCGATATTGTGCCGAGCTACAATTTGACCGGGGCTCTCGACGAGTTCCTGAGAACCGATAGCTGTGATAAGTGCGCCTACGTGATACCGACGTACGAGCTGGACTCGCGCGTCAGGTTCCCTCAGAATAAAACGGAGCTGGTCCGGTTGGCGAGGAAAGGGCTGGCCAGACCCTTTCATCAGAAGGTCTTCATCCACAATCAGTTCGCCACCAATTTTACCAGGTACGTACATGTTGTCCTCTACCTGCCCTCGAGATATACAAATATAACCCTCCTTTTTGGTTACTGTTCAGATGGATACTGGATACCGCTCTGAATCATAGGAATTTTGAAAACGTGAGGAGCGGCAAGGTGTACATTAGCCACGACGTGACCAATTTCGAATTCCTCTACGAACCTTTCTACGTGGCTAGAGATATTGTTCCACCACACGATGAGAGATTCATGGGATATGGGTACACGAGGAATACGCAGGTATGTGGTTAAAATATTGATTGGGTGTTTGTATTCGATAAATACGATGGTAGCGATAGGGGATAAAAAGGTTAAGTGTACTTTCAAGTCAGTTATAAAATCTTGATGAGACTTTCGAGAAGTCCATGTTTTAATATCGAGTGCCACATGGCTGTTTCTATGGCACTTAACGATCACGTCAGCTAACCCAGTATCGATCACATTTAACGCGGCACGCTATAATATGAATTATTAATGCTAAAAAAAAGAATTATTTAGCATATTTTAAATCATGCAATCTTATTTATTGTTAACAGTATGTATTTAGAACTGTCCTCCCATTTCCGTTTCTTAAATTCCCCGATCGATCGATTAAACAGTATAATGAAATTAACGCGAATTATAAGAAATTTAATCAGCCCCGAAAGCTACGAAATCGAGTTAAACCCGACAACGTGCAATGTTATTACCCCTATCGTTGTTGCACAACTGCGAATTTTCGAACAAAAGGAAACTCGTGTATCGACAACACGATATTGAAACCTGGGGGGAAAAATGAAAGGACGTATATTTACACGGTACATGAACAACGTGGCGAACCATGTATTCGTGTAGGAACATCGGAATATCAGAGAACATCAAATGGAAGCATCGGAGGAACATGGGGTAGTTTCATAGTACAGAACTCGTATAAGCAAATCCCACGCCCCAGAGACATTAATTGAATTACATATTATCATTGCCGTCGTTATCGTGCGATGGAGGCTCATTTCACCGAACAAGCATTATTCAATTTAAACTTGATACATCCCGCGCCGTCTAATCGAACGTTTGCATATCGAGGGTGCACGTTCTAGTAGCTGTGCGAAGGGTAATTCGTGTTTCAAACTGTACTTTCCGCACCCGTTAACAATTTACGGCGAACATCTACTTGCCGTCGTTAAACTAAATTGAAAGCTTTTCTGATACTGCTACATCTGACAGGAATAATCGTAATTTCTTCGTTACGTCATAAGTGTATCTTATACGTGTGTGTATATTCTTATACACACATATACTTATGTATACATGTATAAATAATGGTATGTAGATTTTGATGTGGGTGATACACGTTCTTGAGAGTTTACAGTATGGAGTATTAGAGTGGAGGGATTAAGTGGACTTGAATTAAGTGCTTCGATTCTTAATAATTTGTATCCAATGTAATTTATATACAATGTTACGATAGGCATACGTTGAACTTCACTGTGGTAATCAATGTGTGTCTCAGATGAATAGAATGTGCTTATGGGCCGAACTATTAAACTCAACTCTGAGCAAAATAGTATAAACCAATATCAGCCACGTAGCAGTAGTAAGTTTAACGATATGTCAGACATTGTACACCACGTGCCTGCAGTGTTACATTGATTTTTCATTATCCCACTATGCAACTTTCTTATTACAGTTTTACTGAATTTAATTTCTCAGGTCCTCACTTACTCGAAGGGTTGAAAAATGTTCGAGGTACGTAATAAAGGGTGAAGGTCACGTAACTCGTCAGATACAATTTTCTTATAACCGATACGTAAGAAAAGAGAAGAGCGATGAGCTTAGACAGATCTGCGTCCAGGTTTTTTCCCATCGGCGTCGACGTTCGCGAAACAACCCCCCAGGTTTCCTGGAAATAACGAAATTCCATCATGCGGCGAAAATCCGAGCGCCACGTAACCCCGTATCCGTAGAACGAAGTATGCCGCAGCGACGGCAATAAAACGGGTGTAAATCTACATGGCCACGTAGGGCGGATAACACACCGGGGCAAAAGCGGACGTACACAGGCGCGAGTAAACTGGTGTTAGGTCGCAAACGTAACACGTTCCCTGTCCGGAGAGCTACGTGGCCCCTGGTACATTGGTATTCGCGTCTTCTCTGCGGTTCGTTCGCACAACATCCACTCCCCACGGAGGAATGAGAATGGATATCGTTCGTTTCTCCTACCCTCTTGTTGTACTCGCGCCGCTCCGTTCTTTCCGACCCCTCGATCCAATACAATCCTGTCGCGCCATTCTTTCGTCGAGCAACCGGTTTCCCTCGACCTTCGTGCACCTCGGTTTATCCCGTTTTGTCTTTTCCACCCTGTTCCCTCTTCTCTTTTTCCATCCCCGAGGATGCACCGTGCCACCCTCGCTGTTTCAACCCGCTTCGCGAGCGCGTTGTTTCACCGCCTCCGGCCGGAGCAACACGTTTCCGCCGCCCTCGCAAACGAGCACAGACACATTCGCAGCTTTTCTATTGCTCGTTGATCCGGTGCAACGTGTTTTCTCTACGCTCCTTTCGGCAATTAGGCTCGCCGTGAATGCGATCGCCGAAACAACGACTTACTTCGGGAATTAGCGTGCTGCGTCAATTGTGGGATGCTCTGTCAACGATACGTTAGCTGACTTTTGTCGATGTCGTTGATTTTATAAATGAGTGATTAGGTCAATGAATTTGTTGTATTATTTACTAGATTATATCGAACGCGTTGATTGAAAGATTTGTTTATCGAGTAATCAAAGTCGTGAACGATTTCGATTGCTATCTAGTATCTGCGAATCAAGTTGATCATGAATCTTCCTGGTCTGCAATTTTTTCCCGGTCTATCATTCTCGTTATCGCGGAACCATCGATCATCGAGAACTCGCAGTTTGAACGTAAAACGATCGAAATCGTATTGAAAGTATCAATCGTTTATAATTAAATAATGACCATAAATCTATTATCGATGAAATTTTGATGATATACAAGTGAGTCCATAAGTTTTAAACCAATACAAAAATATTTGTCTATCACAAAATTTTAAAGTCAATCGGGTAAGTAGTTTCCGTTTTATGAAACTTTAAAGAAATCGCTACGAAGCTCGTTGAATTCATTTACATTAATTACTTCCTGCATCGTAAACTTTGCCAGCGCATAATTACCAACTTGGGGGTAACTTTACTTAAGCACGAAGGGATAGAGCTTTCTTTAAAGTTATTAATTGTTTTCTCGATTCCTTATCAATACTTCGATATATCAAAATTATTAGTTGTAAATTATTAATCGTGACATTGATTGTCTGTCAATATTTCAATATCTTAAATCATTGAATATTATCAAAATTATTGATTCAAAATTATTAATCATTTCATTGATTGTCTATCAATATTTTAATATCATAAATCATTAAATAATATCAAAATTATTGGTTCAAGATTATTAATCATTTCAGTGATTATCTATCAATGTATCAATATTTTAATTCATTAAATCTTATCAAAATTATTCGCTCAAAATTAATAATTGTTTTCTGAATTGTCTATCAATATTTCAATATTTTAAATTATTTAATATTATCAAAATTATTGGTTCAAAATTATTAATCATTTCAATTGTCTATCAATATTTCAATATCATAAATCATTAAATTTTATCAAAATTATTGGTCCAAAATTATTAAATGTTTCATTGATTGCCTATCAATATATCAATATCATAAATCATTAAATATTATCAAAATTATTAATCATTTCATCAATTGTCTCTCAAAATTAATAACAAAAATTGGTGAAGAAAACGGATAGAAAATTACGGTATTGAACGTCGCTTTGATACAGTTATTCAAAATGCATTATATCGCGAGGGAACAATGAGGAACGATTGGTAAATTCGGCGCGAACGGCATGCTTCAAAATATTACGCCAGCAACAAACTGATCGCGTCTCAATGAATTTCAGAGCGACTCGTTTCAATATTGACCTTTCGACGTTCATTTCGAAGATTGACTTTCGATCGGCAACGAAATTGATTCGACGGCGAGGAATGCCATTGCCGTGAGTGGCGGAGACACGCGAGCATTCGAGATGCTGAGCCACGAATCAAACAGAAAGAAAACAGCTTGCCTCACCTGATTTCGTCGATTGAACGATTACCTTGGCTTCGAGCTCGTCAATCGGCTCGGTTTTCAATGCCGCGAATCGACGAATCGAGCACATTGAAAGGGAACGAAGCACGAAGCTATTTTCACATTATTCTATCGCTGCGAACAAAGGCCGATTTTTAACTTCTAATTGATGAAGTACGATTAGTTTTGTTATATTTGGAAATTCAGGAGTAGTCACTGACTAATTATTGTTATAGATTTTTTAGTTAATAATTGTATATAGAATTTCTAGAGTACGTTAATTTCAGTTAGCAAATTTTAGAGCGCACGTAATTCCAAATTTTAAATTCCACGTGTGGGTAACTCCACGCGCTGTAATTCTACGCATGGGTAACTCCACGCGCCGTAATTCTACGCGTGAGTAATTCCACACGTGGGTAACTCCACGCGCTATAACTCCACGCGTCGTAATTCTACGCATGGGTAACTCCACGCGCCGTAATTCTACGCGTGGTTAATTCTACGCGTGGGTAACTCCACGCGTCATAACTCCACGCGCCGTAATTCTACGCGTGAGTAATTCCATGCGTGGATAACTCCACGTGCCATAACTCCACGCGTCGTAATTCTACGCATGGGTAACTCCACGCGCCGTAATTCTACGCGTGGTTAATTCCATGCGTGGATAACTCCACGTGCCATAACTCCACGCGTCGTAATTCTACGCATGGGTAACTCCACGCGCCGTAATTCTACGCGTGAGTAATTCCACGCGTGGGTAACTCCACGTGCCGTAATTCTACGCGTGGGTAACTCCACGTGCCATAATTCTACGCGTGGATAATTTCACGCGTGGGTAACTCCACGCACCATAACTTCACGCGCCATAATTTTACGTGTGGGCAATTCCACGCATCATAACTCCACGCACCGTAGTTCCACGCGCCGTATCTCCATGCGTCGTATCTCTATGCACCGTATCTCCACGCGCCGTATCTCCACGCGCCGTATTTTTACACGTTATATCTCCACGCGTCATATCTCCACATCCTATAACATGAGGTATACAAAATGGCCGCCTTTCTGAGTATAAATATCAGAACGACGAAACTTTAATTGACTCATAATCAGTTAAAAA